GTGCTGAATATATTTGCAACAGTGTAATCATACTGCTTGTTCAGACATTTTTTAAGATGTAGCTATCCCAGCAAGTTGTACAGTTACATTTAATTATCATATATCAGTTTATCAGAAAATATAATGATAGAACGATACATCTAGCACTACACTGACATCTCTTCTCCATGTTATACAGTAGATAAAACTAAATGAAAGGAATTTCCCAATCCCTTAAGCAAATATACCAAAACTCCCACACAACATACGCACTCTACCAGACGGTCACAACATATCCCATACCTTCAAGAATGGCCTTAACCCTTGTCGCACTGGCAGCTCTGGACCACAGTTCTTGTGGATGTAGGAACCGAGCACAACCAAGAAGTCAAATGATAGTGTCCCAACATCTGGACCGAAACTTGTTAGTCCTAATTCTATTGAGACAAGAAGATTCTGGGGGGGGGGGGGGGCTTATTACTTTCACTTCATCCTGAATACATGGTAAAATCATGAACAAAACATTTATTCTAACTATGACAAGTTTAAGCCACAAAATAAACAAACAAATGAACAAAATTTCATTGTCACAAAGACATTTCCTGTCTTTTTTTTAAATCACATCCTTTAGTGTAAATGGAATATATCTTTTATCACTTATTTTTTTCTCTACTAAAAAATCTTAATGAATTACTAAGTATCTAAAACAAACTAAAACATTGAATCACACTAACTTTCATTAGATCCTCTGGTAATTGGCACACTTTGCTAGGGTAAATTTCGGCAATGAACGTGACCATCTTGAAATACTGCGAGCATAAAGTTGGCAACCGCAATAATTCGGGTGACATGAGAGGCATGATGATGTTGAGGCCAAATAAGCACACATCTGCTGCAGCCACCACTTCCTGGTCTTCCCCATGGCCAGAGGGAGCGAGGTCTATGAAGTCCTTGAATAGTGGGAAAGACAGTGGAAAATCAGTATTCATAAGAAAGAAATGTATGAGATATTGCCAATTTATGTACTAAAGAGACGGACTTATAAAACAGATGTAAATGAATAAATTTTTACAGTCCAACATATTGCTCCCTTTCTTTATATACCCAATAACAATGCGAGCCCCTAGGGAAAAGTCATGCATAAAATTACCCAATTCTCTATGCTCTTGGCTTCACACAAAAATTTTCAGGTATTTAAGCCAAAACAAGGTTTTAAGCTTACTTCTGAGGGACTATTTCAAAAGTGCAAAATTATTTAGCCCGCAAAATTTATAGCAGGTTTGACTGCAGATGACATGGTCTACCATGACATGATAGGATGTCATCTGGCACCTCCTGGCATGATTAGGCTAAGGCACTTTATCCCCTAACTGCCAGTCTCACTCTGATGGTATAGAAAACCGACACCTACTATGTCTGAACAGGTCTCCTGCTTTCACAGATACTTTATGACATTGGAGGTTCCCCTTCTTCCTATATTGTTAACATTTTTCCTTGCCACTGAGAGGGGCAGCTAATATTCTGAGATTAAAATCTGGTTCCGAAATTAGCCCACTTCTAGATGACAGAGCTCCAGATACCTGTTGCCAAGGGGTTAAAAAGATGAAACTAAAAACAAGAAAAGATGGTTACCTTTGATAATAAAGATGTCAACAACTCCATGAGCAGCTGCAAATCCCTCCACTGGTCCTCCTCTCCCCTTGCTTCCACCGTCCGCCGTCCAATGTTGTGCTTGGCGTAAGTTCCCACCAAGTGAACTGATGCTTCATACAACTGCTTGCTTGCACTCTGTGTTAATCAAACCAATATTTACCATGAGCCAAAAAGTGCATGAGCAAAATATATTTCTGAAAAAAGAAATACGCTAAATTCAATGAATTCATATACAAGTGTATAAATAAGATCATAAAATAAATACTTCCTTTTTCCTTTTTCATACAATTGTCACCACTTTCTTACAGAAAAAAAAGAAAGAAAGAAGAAGACAAAAGTCCAAATTCAAAATAATTAACAAGCAATGAATAAACACATTGACCACTTTCCAAATTTTGAGAAGCATCCATCCATCACACAAAGTTCTTCAGAAAACCTAAAACCTAAGGGACACTCACCGGGGTCAGATAACATAGCATGCGTCTTCCGCATTCCACAAACAGTTCCAAGACCGTTTCCACAACAGTCGGGTAGTTATGGAAGAGGTCAAGCAGTCGCACACTCTCACCCAGAATACCCACCATCCTTGAGAAGAGACACTGGGCAGTGGGCATTAGACATCCCTGGACCGCACCTGAAATATTTACAGGGCAAGGTATTACTAGCGTTAATAATGATGGATTTTTTTCTTTTAATCACTACTCAATATGAGTTAAAAGCTTTGTGTGATATGTTACCATCATAGCTAAGTTTCTTTAAAATAAAATAATCACTCTCCTGACCAAGATGGATTTTCAGTTGTACTGTAAGCCAATGAAGATTGAAGAGGCTGAGGGAGTGGATGAAAATGAGGAACAGAAGAGGGGGGGGGAGAGGAGGAGGGCGAGGAAGATAGCTTGCCATCTCAATAATAGAAGTAGGTTCTATTGAAATTGCCTGCCTTAAAAAGAAAAGAAAAGAAAAGAAAAGGTCAAATATATATAAACATTACCTATGAAATTATCAATGTGGTATAGAACCTGTTTCTTCATCTCTTCCTGTTGGTATTGTTTTGTGAAAGATTCAGAAGTGACCAATTGCTTGAAAGATGCCACAGGAGGATCAAGAACATGAGTCCAAAACTGAGTCCTGGCATCAGTGTCACCCAAAGAAGCAGCACACATTACCAGACCCTGTTGGGTGAATTGTTGGACACAATAAATATCTGAAGTATAAATGGTTAGGAACATAACAGCTATAGAGATAGATTAGCAATCTGTTTTCCTAAAGGCCACCCATACACACCTGCATCAACCCTCGTTGTGCTAGAGAAGAAAGAGCTCCCAGTGTTCCACTCTGCTGAAGCTTCACTAATTCCATGAGACCTTCAGTTTTCACCAAGTGCTGGCCTCTGTGAGAACAACAAGCATAAATATGTAAGAGAATCACAGAAAAGACAAATATTTCTGGGAAAATGAAAAAGAATACAGTAATATATGCAAAAAAAAAAAAAAAATGTGAAAGAGTTAGAGACATGAGAATGAAAGTGAACTGAACTGAAATGAGGGATATAATTGATTGAGGGTCAAAAAGGAAGATAAGGCAGCAAAGGGAGAATAAGTAAAGTTGTGAAAGAATAAATATCATTGAAGAAAAGAATAACATCAATAACAACATCTCTCAGCAGCAATAGCTAGAAATAGAATCTGTATCCAAGTTTCTTACCTTTCCTTACTGTCAACCATTGTAACAAGCAAGTTGACAGTGTCTTCCACAAGACCTGGCTCAGCACTTCGTAGTCTCAGTGTCTGTTCAACAACTGATAATAAATAGTTCAAAGTCCAGGCTGCTCCCTCTGAATCTCGCCCAAAGGCTGAAGTCAGGGCTATACTCAACTGTGAGAGAGATACAAAGTTGCAGATGAAAATTTAGTTTAGTGCACAAAATGGTACAAACTAATGTAATTCAGCTTGTGCTTTTCTAATGATTCTCTTGATCAGTAACAAAACTTATAAAATCATATCAATCATAGCAATATAATGATAATTTCCTCCTGCTGCTTGTTTTTGAACTTTGAACAGCCATTTTAAAATCTGGAGTATACAGTCTTACCAAAACCTGCCATTCATTTAAGAATGAATGACTGAAGGGAGGAAGAAATAGAAGAAAATAGTAAATATAGAATACAACCATTGTACCTGCAGCACAAAACACTGAAATATCACCATACCTCTGTGTAGAAAGATTCATTTGGAAGAAGATAAGATAGGCAGAACCGTCTCAAGAACCACATGAGTGAAGAGGATACTTCTGGACTTAGGAGATGACCTAAGTTAGCCTTCAGTGCTTGGGATTCTGTCTCACATAGACGCATAACTGTGCTCATCATCCTGAAGATGTTAGTATTGGTTAGTTGTCTCTAAATGGTTAAAATAATTTTTGTCTACAAAATATTGTAGAACATATCTTAAGAAAATAAGTAAAACAATTGCATATCAAACTCTGATTCTAAAACAACCATTCACTATTTTAAAAGCAGGTATTTATGAAAACCAAAGATAAAAGTCAGGGCACTGTACTACCTTATCAAAGGATCAGCAGCTGCACTGTTTGGTACTTCTGCAGGCATTTGTGCTGGTGTGGCTAATAATCTGAGGGTTGCTTCTAAATTTATAGTTGGAGCTGCACTCATGCTATAGGTCACCATCTCAGAGGGGATAAGTGCAGTTTCACCTTCATTATCCATTGTTGTGACATGACCTGCAAACAAAAAAATATATAGGAATATAAAATGAAGTAAAATTAAATGATTCCTGCATGAATCAGAATGTACTCTTGAGTGTTAACCCATTAGCGACGGGTGTCCCATATATGAGACACCCGAAAAAAATAAACATTGCCGGGCGTCCCGCCAGTGTGACGCTGTATTGGGGCTGTGCTCCAACGCAGCAGCGGGTGGACAAACTCCGGGGAAGCTCTGCCCGCCGATTTTGAAGCCGCCCGGAATATTTTATTTTTGGCTACAAAATTATCCAGGCATGAATGGGTTAACCCACTGATGCCGGGATAGCAAAAATACATGCCGTGTCCACTATGTTTCCTTGTTGATTAATCATAATAACAGAGATTGTTCATGCGCTTAGGCCCTAATCACCAAGATGTTAATTCATCACGGAAATCATGGTGCCGAAAATTTGGGCTGTGGGTTATGCAAGTTGTAAATAACCCGGACGTGTGGCACATAGGTTGGGTTCACACGAATACCCATGAGCAGTGATAAAACTGATATTTTAGGTTTATTTTGTGTAAACATTCTTTTATACATTATATATATATATATATATATATATATATATATATATATATATATATATATATACACACACACAACTATTTTGTCATTTTCTAATGTCCATATTTGTCTTCTGATTTGCTTTATCCAGAAGATAATAGCTTATTTTCTTTGCACAGACTCCATATCACCTCTCTGTGTAGTAAATAACTCAGTGCAAGAGGATGGAGAAGGAGGAGGAGAAAGAGGAGGAGGATGATAATAAGGTTATTTGTCATATATCTTTTTTTTTTTTTTTTTTTTTTTTTTTTTTTCAATCTTTAATTTTCTGTAATACAACCTGTGCTGCTGGTTACAGCAGCCAGGAATACTGTGCACAGCATGGAAATGATGTCCTCCCTATAGAAAGCACTCTTCCAGTCACGGCTTACACACATTACATTCCACATTCACTTATCGATGGGAATAATTCTAAGCACCAAATGAGTCAAATCACACTCCAAGAGGTTTGTGCACTCGTGGCGAGTCTTTTCTGTTACCCTGGCCTTCACTCATGACGGCAAATTTGCTTCACCCTGCCCACAGGCATTCTGCCTGATGATGGCATGTTGCGTCACTCAGCCCTTGACCCAGATTTTTCCATGATGGGACTGTAACGTCATCCGGTTCATTGGGGTTAATAGCTCTACCCATCTTATTTGTATAAGCTTTTTAACACTTTATTGTTATTAGAATTGTTAACAACATTATAAGAATCATAATATTCAAAATATCGAAATTATCATTATCAATAGCATTAGAAATAGGGATTTTTCCTAAAAACACAAGGAAAAGGGAAATCAGGAGAGGCCACATAGGTCTACTAATTGGCTCCTTGGTGACTGAACACTTGTGAAGCCATCTATGAACAAACAAAATTCACAAAAGAAAGCTATAATTGACACTACATATAACTGACAGAAAGGGGTTAACATTTTCAAAATGTGCTCCGTGTTAACCCACAGACAATGGATGATGCATTATGAAAAATTCCTGCTTACAAATAAGATTTTATAATGCTGTGAATTTCCGTTCCAACTACTGCATCAAGATAATGATTCGGACACATTATATTTACAAACATGGGCATACTAAATCTCTTTTTGGGTTGGGTTATAGTGGGCTATGTCTGGTAATGTAAGCCAATTAACAGGACACTGACCAGATGGAACATCTATATCTTCACACAAAAAGGAGGGTTTAAGGACACAGGCTGCACATCTAAAGGATGATGAGAGACATGCATTGAGGTGTCTCCCCTTTGGGGACTAAAATTTCTTGTAGAATTACTTCCTTCGCAGGGTGATCCCAGAGCACCACCATACCTGATAGTATAACCCTTCCAAGAGCTGTTTGTTTGACTTGAAGGTGTATAGGCTGTGCCCCAGTACATTTTATAGGTCTAAATAGAACAAGATTATGAAGGTTATTATGGGCTTTATGACTGCCACTTGGAAAAGAGACTAAGCTGCAAATTGCCAACTGGTAAAGGTCATCAACCCTTTTCCATTACCTGCCATCCCACAATAAAGTAGGTACCATATGGATCATTGCAGCACAAATTCAGTCATGCTTTATCTGTCTTGGATGCTGCCGACTACAATCCAAACCTACTGACAAGGGGATGTACATACCAAGCCCTAGATAGTGGTGGACAACAATAGGATAAAGTTTTGACCTGAATGATCACTTGGCTCAATTGTTTACTGCCACAAAACTAGTTGATCTGGGTTATACGTGGATCTTCAACCACCTGGGCATGTCTGACATCAATGACCCACAGTGCACAAGGCACTTGAGGGTAGGATGAACCAGTTTGAATTTTAATTGGGCCTTGTCAAGGAATGCAGCTCCAAGGTCCCAGGAGGCAAACTTGAACCAACCCTCTACTGCACCTTAGACATAGTTCATGTACACATTACACAAATTGCCTCTATGTACTATGCAGTGCTTTGACCACAGGGACAAGTAGAGGGAGGAGAAGTAGTGCATGTGTTTTTTTGTTTATACGACAGATCCTAATTTTTTTAAGCCATAAAAGTTATAGCATTCCCACTAATTCACATAAAATAGCTCACTTGAATGTGGAAAAACCTTAAAAATGTAAGTGACTAAGATAATTTTCACACCATATAATATGGTTGTGTATAATCTTCAGCATTTTCCTTTTCTTTTTCATGGACTAGCATATTTGACTGATTCATGTAAACCATATGGGCATAGTAGCAAAAAACATGCACTACCACACACCTATCCTCACCAGACTTTCCTGAATATATCATCCATCACCACTGGGTTAATACCATAGTTTCCATAATAATAAAGAAGAAATAAAATTAAACAAGTATGAGCAGCAGAGGAGGCAACAACAATGTTAGGATAACATTACACAAACCTTTTATGATCTAACAAGAAACAATGAGAAAAAAAAAGAAAAAGAAAGAAAGAAAGAAAGAAAGAAAAAAAAAGAAGAAAAAAGACAATGCTATAATGATATAAACAAATAATCTGACAAAAATTCTAAAAACATACTAATAAACATAAAATTCCTGACCATACCTGCAATGAGGAGCAGCCAATGAATGTCCTCATAGAGCTGGTCAAGCTGTGTGTTCTCAGCAATAGTTAGGTTGTTGCTGAGAATGTGTGTTAACTGAGACCGCATTCGGCCAATTCGATCTTCAAGAAGCTGTGTCAAGAGAGGTACACTATGTTCTGCTGCCTGAAAGTGGAGGAGGGCTTTGGTAATATTGTTTGTAATACCTGGTGTAATCTGAGATGAATGACACATGAAAAGAAAGAAAGACAGTAAGAATGAATTAGTCCAAAGTTTGTGGCAAACAGATTTTTTTTTCTTTACTTATATGTCAAGATTCTATTGCTTCCTTGTAGAAAGCAGTGTGAAGTAGTCTCAAAGAGCAATCAAAATTTCTAAAATAATAAACAATAGGGATATATAACTGTATAGGTATGAAAATTTGAGGGAATTTCATGACTAAGCTACAAATATTACTGTAAGAAAGAGGACTTATTCTTTACTATTTAACCAAGCAAATTACTACAATCATAACAATGGTAAATTTTTACAATAATATTACCTGTCTTCCACATAAACCTATGAGGACAAGTTGGTCTTTGAAAGCCACACGATCAGTCTGAACTGTCTCCGATATTTCATCTGCATCAACCTAAACAAAAGGAAGTCATTATTTTCACTTAAAGTCAGCAATATATGAAAAATAATACTATTTGACTTTTAACAACCTATGCACAACTCTACCTGTAAAAAAACCATAAGAAATAAAACAGCAGGATAATTACTTACTGGCACTCGGGACCCTTCTGGAGGTGCTAAATGGCACTTAAGATATGTGTCAAAGATAAGGGTGGCACTCTGCTTGACCTGAGAGCTATTACAACTACTGCTTTCTTGAAGGATGCAAGCCCATGACTGCAACATCTGCTCAAAGGCTTCCATGTACAGTCGATCCTCCTCGTCCAACTGAAAGAGGAAAATTCAAGGCAATGCCAAAATATATAAAAAATAGACAAGTTTTGAAAAAAAGAAGAAAGAAAGAAAAAGTAATAATAATCATGAACACAAATAAAGTATATTTATCATTTAAATACCTAACAACTAAAATAAACAAATAGATTTCTATATCATTCCATTATTCATCTCAAAAGAACCCTCACCATTTCCTCCTGTGCTGCACCCTGGGCAAATTTGCAGGTGAGGGCGGTGAGGTTGTCGACTAGCTGCCGCAACATCTCCTCAGGGAGGGCCACCAAGACGGAGGGAGGAAAGAAGAGCAACAGTTTCCGGAAAATGTTGCTGATCCCTAGGGCTTCAACTTCACTAATCTGAGTACTGGGGTGAAGGGAAAAAAGTTTTGTAATATACATATGAAATATTTTACATACTGCACTGGTTATTACTGTTAATGCTTTGAGATTTTTTTTTTTTTTTTTTTTTTTTTTTTTTTTTTTTTTTTTTTTTTTTACAAAAATCCAAATCTTTTAACTACATTTTGTAGCCAAAATTAAAAAGAAGCTACAAAATCGGCGGGCGGAGAGATTAGCAAGACAGCATCGCATAGCCGAAACTGTTTAATATATGTGACTCATCATGAGTTAAATAAATCTTTATCAAGCTGTCTCCGTAAAAAAAAAAAAAAAGGGAAAAACCCTACCTTGACAGGAGGGAAAAGAGGCACTCCAAGTACTGTGTGAGGTATTTAATTCGAACTTGTCTGTTGATAAGGACTGCTCCATTTAAGGAGGCCAACTGCACTAAGCAATTTAAAGCATGATGCCCCAGTTCCCAGTCACCACGCACACGCCAGTAAAGCTGTAAATGCAAAGAAGTAAGAGAATTATACTTTGCTTTACATCACTGCATAACTGTGAGGATAACCTAGTTTCTCAGGGTAATATGAAAAAATAAAAATAAATAAGAGAAATATATCACATCAATAATGGTAGTAATAAGAGACTATGGTAGCATATGAACATCACCAGAATACCATGACTTACTTTAAAGAAAAGCTGTACAATTGCAGGATCCAGGAAGGTCTCTCGCCACTGTTGGCCTGGCCGCAGGGATGGATTCTGGTCCTGCTCAAACACACTCATGAGTCGTTTTGGTAGTGAGTAATTATTAAGGAAAAAAAGGACAATGATTTATAGTTTGGAATTGTCTATTTTAAAATATAAATTGATATACTTTGGATAAGAAAGTTCATCATAACTGCCATAACTGAAGCTGTCTCCCAACTTTTTAAAAAAGAATAAAGGAAAGCCAAGAAAGACACCATACAATTCTTTGCCCCCCCCCCCCCCATTCAATCTACACTTTTAACTGATAACACTTTCTAATTCCTTACACTTTGTACTCATAATAAAAGGATATGGTGTAGGGAGATGAAAGACCAAGTCAAAGTGGTCTCTGCAATAACCAGCAACTTGAGGAGCAGAGATGACAATTCTCCACTCATTTTTCCTTCCACTTTGACCACCTCTCCCAGAAGGTTTACGATGAAGTGGAATATACGACGCAGATCTGAGCCCTGTTGAATGGTGTGTTTGGTTTTATGATTTAGGATATAATCTTAACAAATGCATGCTCAAAGATTTAAAGACAATGCAGTAGAAAATGCATTTCAAATTTGATGTTACTACAATTATATCAATAACAACAATAACTACTACTATATGATAATAAAATGAATAAGATTATGAATTTGTATATATATAAAAATTTATAAATATTCATATATATATGTATATACATAAATATATGAATCTATCTATATCTATCTATCTATCTATTCATCTATATATATACGTATACATGTGACTAATTTCCTAATTAACCCAGTCATAAAAAATAAGTAAAATCAAACAGACTAATTTTCAAAAAAAAAAAAAAATTCTAAACTTTCAGAAAATTCAGATTGTAATTAATGAAGCAAAATATATATATCCACATTTACCTCAAACTGTTTTTTGGCTTTAAAGTGCGTTTCCCAGGTTAGCCCTACATCTGTGGACTTCACTGTCACAGCATATTCTTGCATAAGAGCGCTGATAATGCTGCACCCAATCATACGCTGCAAACAGACAGAAATTGTTATACAAATGCCTACCAACAGATAACTGATTTCACCTCAGACAAATTATCTATAGTGTAGGGAATAAATCAAATTGTACTGTACATTAGAACCTAAGAAAATGCACATATACAAGAAAGAATACTGAACAATGGGTTGAATAAGCAACAAAATAAGTTTTGACCATTGGGTTTCATTTTTCAATTTATTTTTGAAAAACTATAATATTCACAGTATTTCTCAGCCATTTTGACAAGTCATGCAAGCTCTCAAAAGAGGTTTACAAGAAAATTAGTAAAATTCAGGGGGCCATCGCGCTCAATTTTTGACAAATATTTTAAAAACTACTTGAAAATTTGAAAAAAATCTCCTGTAATCTAGTAGGCTTTGGCAATCTCATGACATAATAATTTTGCTAAATATGTAAAAATAAAGGAGTTATGACTATTCTATTATTGTCAAAATGATATGAAACTTGGTGGTGTAAATCTCAGTATATGTATATATAACATATTAAAAAATCAGAAAAATCTGATCATATTTGACAAATTTCGTTCTGGAGCAAGACAGCCCCATTAACATTCTATGGATATTCTGTGATCCCTTCTGCATCCCTAATAGATGTGTTTATTGGGATGATACACACATACATACATAATTCTTTGTTTTTTGTTTAGCCATAAAAAATAAAAACATACAGTATTGCTTAACATCCTAGGGTATCATGCAGTAACCAACATCTTCATCCCAGTACAAAAATACATGCATACACAAACACACACACACACCCCCCCCTAAGGACTTAAAGATTTTAAAAGCAAAAGAAGCTTAGATGATGATTATATTTTCATTCCTTTACCAAACTGTGTCATATCTTATTGAAAGTGGAATGCACAGCAATGCTTGGCCATTCATCTCAATCACACTTAATTCCTTTACAAGAAATCTGGTTTATGGGATTTTGTGTTTCAATATTTGTCAAACTGCTTTTCTTCCTATGTTTTTGGTCCATATTAACCTAATCCCAACAGGAAAATGTTCCGTTCAATTTCTTATTGTTTTGTTCAATATTTCTGCACATAGATGGCTCTGCCAGTGCTTAGCCACAAAGGAGTCAATTAGTAGATCTTGCGAAATCAACTTTTGAAACAGTGGGAAAACGTTTTTTTTTTTTTTTTTTTACTAATGCTGTCAATATGAAGTTATTTTTGTTATTAACATTATAATTACTATATTGTTATTGACATTATTAACCACAGCATTAGATACTAAAAAATATTATCAAAAATCCAAAATCACGGAAAAGGGTAAACAGGTGATACAGGTAGTTCTTGTAATTGACTCATTGGTGACTTTGTATTTTTAGAGCCATCTATATGTAAAAACAATCACTATATCAAACACGCAGTGGGTATAGCATGTTCGTACATGCCATCCCCGGCGGAAAGTGGTTAACGATAAATAGCGGAATCCCCTGGATTAGTTACCTCTTGGTATATCATTTCACTATTCACATGTATAAACACTTATAAAACACATCTAAACTAATATTCCATTGTTTTACATGTTTTACAAATTTTTTAATGTTTCATTTATCTATACATTCATAAAAATCTATCTCCTACATCTATCCAGAGAGTGGTATGCTGGGTAGTCTGTGGTTCTTACAGGTTAATAGTAACATATGATGATATTTTGTAAAGATTTGCTTTTCAATCCAAAATAAAATGGGGGATTGATTTTGAAAAGACAGACATATCAACTTGTGCTAGTCTATATAATCAAATCCAGTCTTAATTCCTATACTTCACTCCCCCCATACTCTAACATGAGGGATGGAAAGAAGAACTGACAATCTGCAATTAAATTGCAAGTGCAAAGTGGTAAACAATTATTCATGTTACAAATTAAATAAGAACTAGAAGCACTCAGATAGTGCATACCTCTGCCAAGGCAGTAGGCTCACTGATGCAATAAAAATATTCATCAACATAACCTTCTTGGAGGCAAGGCAATAGGGCTAACTGATGCAATTATTCAAAATATTCCTGGATCCGGATCATGATCTGGATCACAGCAAAATTAAATAGAATCTAAAAGTGTTTTAAGCATGGGAGCGCTTGGGCAAGAATTTTTGCCGATAGGCCAAGCGCTGTACCGTTCCCTGCTTAAAACGCTTTCCACAGCATGCAGGCCCTGTTCAGTGATGCCAGACATGTGGAAGTGTCTTTTTATAAAGTACAAATCATAACAGTCATTGATGAGCATAGAAATATCAAAATAACACACAAAATATACATAATTGGTTTTTAAAAGCAATATTCCCACCAACAACTTTGGAAAAAGATAACTTATGCACAAGTCGAGGGTGGAGTTTATTTCACTGGCAGTTGGTAACAGTTTGAGCGTGCATTTCAAAACAACTGACAAGCTAGTGCTGCATCAAGATGGCAGAGTAAATCTACCCAAACATCTTAACAAAGTGCAATATTTTCTATATTAATATAAAGTGCCTCTAAAACAATGACACACACTTCCGATTGACAGCCCTTTCACTCTGACGCGTTATCCAAACAAATTAATATCCCTGAATTAAAATATAGGCCTACCCATTCCCATATATCCGATTTTATGAGGTTAAATATAAGAAGACACCGAATACAATATCAACAGAAGAATGTTGCTAGAATTTCTCAGACTTTTTTCACTTGAAATATTCTTTATTTCATAGAATAGCGGATATATTCTCGATTTAGAGAGACAGAGAGTTTAACAATAAGAGGTAAATTGTTTGACTTATAATAATTTATTATTTATAAGTAAAACACTTTTTATTCCCATAATCTCCATTATGTCCTTTCGTTTTCAGTTAATTTCAATTTCTTTGAATATGATTTTAAGAAAATTACAAAATCAGATACTGTGAAAAAATTATTTATCTGATAAGATATTAAGCAAAGTTCCTAGCCAACGCCTGCATTTGAAGGATCGTGACCAGTACGGTACGAGACCAATGCCGTTGCCATGGTGACGGTACACCGCTTGACTTAGCAAGCGCAAGTCTAGCCATCTACAGGGGTTGCTTGTAAAAGCAAGCGAAATGTTTGAGTTAGTAAGAAAAACGCTTGAGATTTCAGGCAAGAACTTTCCCTGTTTAAAACATCTTAAGTTAGGCAAAGACACACCTCTGGTGAAAATTTCATAAAAAGTTATATTTACAATCATTAAAAAATTCCTGGATCTGGATCATGATCTGGCTCACCACCATAATTTAATGATATCTAAGTTTTGCAAAGACGTACCTGTGGTAAAAAATTCTTAAAATTCTTTTCATATATTTTTAAGTTATCCTGCTAACCAATAAACACAATCAAATAACTAAATATATTGCCTCCGTGGTGGAGGTAATAATGTGATATATATTTACCTAATGCTGATGGGAAAATGTATTCACTTTAGTATTGTTTTGTTAAATGTTTCTGTACATAGATGGCTCTGCCACTGCTTATCCACAAAGGAGTCAATTAGTGGGGCTTGTGACCTGACCTTTCTTTAAAATAGTGGGAAAACGCTTTTTTTCTTTTTACTAATACTATCAATATAGCCACTATTATAAACATCATAATTACTGTATTGTTATTGACATAACCCAAAGTCGAGGGACAGGTGACGTGAACATGCCGTCGTTGGGCAAAATGGCCACGGGCAGGGTGATGCAAACTTGTTGCCATGAAAAAAGACCAGGGTAATGGAAAAGACTTGCCACAAGTGCACAGACCTCATTTGGCGTTTAGAAGGGGGTTTAGCATTAATCTCATTGATAAATAAATATGGAATGTATCCTGCGTAAGCACTGACTAGTAGAGCGCCTGCTCCAGGGAGGACACCATTTTCATGCTGCGCACTGTATTCCTGGCCGCTGTGACACAGCGGCACTGGTTATATTACGTAAAATTGAAAATTATGAAAAAATGAGATATACGACGCAAATAATCAAATGCTCCATCCCCCCCCCCCCCCTTAGAACTGAGTTAATTACTACATAGAAAGATGATATGGAGTCTGTGCAACGAAAATTAGCTATTACCACCTGGATAAAGCAAATCAAAATATGGACATTGGAAAATGGCAATAAAGCTAAAGAAGTTAACACAAAATAACTTTGCAAAGGAGAGAGACAAAGTCTTCCCACCGCTCATGGGTGTTCATGCGCATCCAGCTTACACGCAGCATGCCTGGGATGTTGGCTACTTATGTAACCCACTACCCATGTTTTCGGCATGGTGATTTCTGTGACACAACCAGATTCAATGGGTAAAATACTAGAAAATATTATCGAAAATCTAGGAAAAGGATAGACAGGTGAAACAGGTAGTTCTCATAAATGGCTCATTGGTGACTTAGTACTTTTGGAGCCATCCATATGTAAAAACAATTACTAAATTA